TCCAGGGAGCCGTGGTGTGGCCACACCCCGCCCAGGGTGTCCCTCTGTGGGAATTCCCGCTCTAGGCAGGTGGGGAGGGACTGGAGAGTGCCCAGAGGAGGTCTGCAATGCCAGGAACATGCTGACCCTGGAGAATCACCACTCCAGGGAGGTCCGGCTTCTTTTCTTAGAGGATGGGTGTCTTCAATGTTACCCATGGGAAAGCTCTGGGTGTGTCCCTCAATTACACTCACCATCTTGCCTGTCACTAGAGCCCGACTGGTGACTCCTAAATCCAGTCCTGTGTCTCTAAAAGGCCACAAACAGGCACGAGCTTTTTACTCCGGAACACATGGAGGTGTTCCAAAGAGGAACTTCCTCGGGCTGCTTTGGAGAAAGAGCCTGGCATGAAAGCTCTGCACCGGGGAGATGCTATTTTATTACAGAGATGCTATGAAAGAGGCCAGCTCTGAGCCGCTGTTCGACACACTTTTACCCTGGCACCAGGTGACACAAAATTTTGTTTAAACACGCAGAGAGCACGGCTCCTCATTTACACAGTCCATGGATCACAAAACACAGGTGGATGCTGAAACAGAAGCAGATGAAGAAGGACACTTCTTCTTTTGTGGACAGCATTATTACAACTAAGAAAAGCCAAAAAAAACCCTACAAAGAAAGTCTCAGCCTAAAATGGGTTACATTATGAGTGCAACGAGATTTGCAGAAGAAGATGGGCAGTTTATTGCTGCTTAAAAACATCCAGTGATAAGTCTCTTCAGGGAATCCTTGAGCTCCTTATTCCTCATGCTGTAGATGAGGGGGTTCACTGCTGGAGGCACCACCGAGTACAGAAATGATAGTGCCAGATTTAGAACTGGGGAGGAGATGGAGGGGGGCTTCAGGTAGGCAAATATGCCACTGCTGATAAACAGGGAGACAACAGCCAGGTGAGGGGGGCACGTGGAAAAGGCTTTGTGCCGTCCCAGCTCGGAGGGGATCCTCAGCACGGCTCTGAAGATCTGCACGTAGGACAGCACAATGAAAACAAAACACCCCAAAATTAAACAGGCACTAAGCACAAGAAACCCAGCTTCCCCGAGGTAGTCTGAGTCTGAGCAGGAGAGCTTGAAGATCTGGGGGATTTCACAGAAGAACTGGTCCAGGGCATTGCCTTGACAGAGTGGGAGTGAAAATGTACTGGCAGTGTGCAGCACAGCATGGAGAAACCCACTGCCCCAGGCAGCTGCTGCCATGTGGGCACAAGCTCTGCTGCCCAGCAGGGTCCCGTAGTGCAGGGGTTTGCAGATGGCAACGTAGCGGTCGTAGGCCATGACAGTGAGGAGAGAACACTCTGCTGTCATCAAGAAGAGAAAGAAAAAGACCTGGGCAGCACAACCCAAGTAGGAGATGGCCCTGTTCTCCCAGAGGGAATTGGCCATGGCTTTGGGGAGAGTGGTGGAGATGGAGCCCAGGTCGAGGAGGGCGAGGTTGAGGAGGAAGAAGTACATGGGGGTGTGGAGGCGGTGGTCGAAGGCTATGGTGGTGATGATGATGCCATTGCCCAGGAGGGCAGCCAGGTAGATGCCCAGGAAGAGCCAGAAGGTCAAGAGCTGCAGCTCCCGCGTGTCTGCGAATGCCAGGAGGAGGAACTCAGTGATGGAGCTGCCGTTGGACATCTGGTCCCTCTGGGCATGTGAACCTGTCCAAGGAGGAAAAGGCAGTGGCAAGTTAGGGTAGACTTCTCTAAGCAAAATCTACCTCTTTTCTCATAGAACTTCCCCACCACCCCCACCCTAAACTGCCTGTCCCCTTTCAGGAAGACCTTTGGTACATCCCTTTCATGAGGTCTGGTTGGTGCTGGCTGAGGGTGCCCCAGGGAGCTGGGAGATCTGCTGGGGGCTCTGGAGGAGTCAGTCTTGCCCTACAGCAATAGGTAAATAGGAGACAGGAGTGATCTCAGATTAAAACCTCTCATGCCATCAAAGAGCTTTGCAGCAACTCACCTGACTGCAGAGCAGAGCTGTGGGGGTTTTGTTTTGTTTATTCTCTTCTTGTTGCCCCACCACACCTGAGGAGTGTTTTTAAGGGAGAAATCATTGGCATTTCTGCTGTACCTCAAGTGACACATTGTGGGTGCTGACAGGCAAAGGGACTGTCCCTTAGTGCAGAGTGAGGACAGCCGGTCTGTCCATCAGTCCTGGTCTCAGCTGCCCAGTGCTGGCAGCTCTTTCAGCTGGAGGACGATTGCACTCAGATGTGTCCCTGGGGGTGATCTGGAGCTGTGAGCAGCCCTGTATCACACGGCACCCTCTTGGCAGCAGAAGGACCCTGCCCTGCCCTGCCAGGGGTCACTCCTCCTACCCACAGCTTCCCCTCACAGCGCAGTGGGAAGAAGCTCTCAGGGCAGGCTGAGTGCTGAGCCTGGCAGGCGGCAGAGTCCCTCCTCTAGCACACAGTCCCTGGGGTGCAGGGACCCCGCTCTGAAGGACAGCCCTGGGCACCCCTGGGGGCAAACCCAGCTTCACACCGTGCAGCCGTCCCCAAAAGAAAGCAGCCATCATGCCCTGTCCCTCTGATGGTGCAGCAGGGAAGCCCTGCTCGGGAGCACGTCCTCCTCCTCTACACCAGAGAAACTGTGAGAGTCCTCCTTAAAGATCTCACAGCCTGTGGGAATACGACAACTTTTTGAGACCTTTCCAGGAACTGCAGATGCGTTGCCCGGCCTCCAGAAACTTACCATGTTTCTTACAGGTCTGTGAAGATCTCTCCCCCAGTGAGCTCTCTGCATTCTCCCACCCCACACGGCCTTTTAACTCTC